GCTCCTTGGAGGCCAGGATGGCTAAGCTTCGTCTCTCATACTTCAGACATATTGTCAGGAGGGACCAGTCACTGGAGAAGGACATCATGTTTGGTAAGGTGGAGGGTCAGAGAAAAAGAAGAAGACCCCTAGCAAGATGGACTGGCAAAGTGGCAGCATCAGTGGGCTCAAGCGTGGCAATGATAGTGAGATTGGCCCACGATCGAGGAGTGTTTTGTTCTGTTGTGCATAGGGTCACTATGAGTCAGTACCGACTCCATGGCACCTAACAACACCACCAGTGCGGGTAAGGAGGCCTGACGGCACTTTGGGGATATGGGTGTAGGTGGATGCACAGACACATGGGCACACACTTACACATTTCTGTTTTATTGCTGGATGTCAGTTTAAAGTGTGAGCCCCTCCCCCTTCCCAAGCCCCTCTGCTACACCCTGCTCTCTCTCTAGCTGACCCGCCTGGCCTTCCTACCCATGCTTGGACCCCAAGGAGTCCAGCCCATGCTGTGTCCTCTGTTACCAGAGCTGTCCTTTTTGAAGTTCACCTTGGGCAGGAGGGGGCTGGGGGGCAGATGACCGCAGAGCTGTGGAGAAGGCGTCAGCACATTTTTGGTTTGCATTCCTGCCCTGGCTTGGAGATTGGATGGTGGCTGCTGCTAATAACGCACCAGGGTCTGTGAGAGCATGAGGTGCATTTAGAAGATGTGGGTGTACCCCCTGGAAGGAGGGGGCGAATAGGGAATCTGGTGAGGGGCAGCAGCTGGCATTAGCGCCCACCCATGCAAGGTTCACTCTGTGTCTCAGTTTACCCCTGTATACCAGAGGATGCTCCTGGATCAATCAGTGCCAGGATCAGGCCCAAGGTCTCCTCATGGTACCACAAGCAGGTCGAGGGCCTTGACGGGTGGTGCCCTGTGCTGGGGTCAGGGGCATGCTGGACTTTCGGGGCTGTCAGGAGGGCCCCTGCCTGGAGGGAGACCAGCTCATGGACGTGTGGGGGGGTTGCTGGACACAGGTCCTGGGTTCTATTCTCCTCTCCCTGTGGATCCTTAACTCATCGCCCGCCTGCACGTGGTTCGAGCACGTCAGTATGTTGGTCATCCTGCTCAATTGCGTGACCCTTGGCATGTTCCGGCCCTGTGAGGACGTCCAGTGCCGCTCAGAGCGCTGCAACATCCTCGAGGTGTGTCGAAGTGGGGCAAGCAGCGGGACTGGGGAAGAGATCTGAGGTGGGGTGGACACTGGGAAGGCGGCGTGGACCTGGAGGTGGGAAAGGTGCAGCCAGGAGGGTTGGGCCGCTTCTCCATTCCCGCCATGTGTTTTTCTGACGCGGAGAGACAGCCCTGGGGGCGTAGCTCACAGGCTCTGAAGTTCTCACCGTCTCCCCCCAGGCCTTTGATGACTTCATCTTCGCCTTCTTCGCTGTGGAGATGATCATTAAGATGATAGCCCTGGGCCTGTTTGGACAGAAGTGCTATCTGGGCGACACGTGGAACCGGCTGGATTTCTTCATAGTCATGGCGGGGTATGCTCCCAGAGGGGCAGGGCATGCCCCTGATGAGGGATTGCTCATCACCAGAGGGAGGACACGCCTCCCAGAGGCAAGGCACACAACACGTGCCTTGTGGTGTGAGTTAAGACCCCCAGTCTCACTCGGGGTACTTGTTCTCTTCCCTTAGCAACCTTGCTGGCTAGTGCCTCATGGAGGAACATTCTGGGCTGGGCAGAGAGTGGGGGGAGGGGGTGTCCATCCATCCATCTGGGAACTGGAGTTGCAGCCAAGGGGAGCTGAGGTCAGATGGTCTCGCTCCCTTTCCCCCACACTCCCCCTAGTATGATGGAGTACTCTCTGGATGGGCACAACGTGAGTCTCTCAGCCATCCGAACGGTGCGCGTGCTGCGGCCGCTCCGCGCCATCAACCGCGTGCCTAGTAAGTGACCCCAACTCCATCACCGACAGCCCTGGGGAGCCAGATGGGGGTGTGTGTGAAGGCAGCAAAAATCACAGACCCCGCACCCCATCTGGCCCTCAGTGGGCATCGGGACCCACTTTGAGTGGGGCATCCAGGCACTTTAACCTGACCCTCATCCTCCTCTAGGCATGCGCATTCTGGTCACTCTGCTGCTGGATACACTGCCCATGCTGGGGAACGTCCTTCTCCTCTGCTTCTTCGTCTTCTTCATCTTCGGCATCGTTGGTGTGCAGCTCTGGGCGGGCCTGCTGCGTAACCGCTGCTTCCTGGACAGCGCCTTAGCTAGGTGCCTAGGCCCCTCCCACCCGACCTCCCTGAGGCCACGCCCATCCAGAGCATTGGTCCCACGCACTGGTGGCCACGCCCACTCCAGACAAACCTACCCAACCAGAAAACCCAGCTCACCGAAAGGCCCCACCCACCTGGAAGGCACGCCCATACGAGCTGCGCCCTTAATTGGCTGGCTCCACCCCCCCATCAGGCTCAGCCTCTCCTGGAATAGTCTCCAGAGTCCAAGTTTTGGGGTCCCTGTCTTTTTATACATGTTTTTCTCGTACTGTCTCGTATTTTTGTTGATCTGTGTCTCTTCTTTTTAGAAAAAGTCTTTTATTATTTTCAAAGTTTTCTCGGCAAATTACATTTGTTTACAATTTCCATATAATTTGTGCAGTGATTCTGATAGTGTCCCCCCTCTTTCTGTGTAAATACAGACTTCGGTGTCTTTTTCTCTATTTTCCTTTTATCACAGTTGGTTTCTGATTCTATTTCTGTCTGTTTCTATCTCTTCCTGGGAATGCAGGATTTGGGGGCTGCCCTTGCCAAGACTGGCACTATGGAGGATGGGGAGGTTGAGGCAGGTTGGGGCCCTTTCACTTGCACAACTGCTCAGGGAATGTGGGGGACAGCCCAGAACCAAAGAGATGATCCCAGTAGCACTGGGGTGCACTGAATCTCAGGGAGCATAGAACCGGTCATAGTAGGTGGGAAACTCATGATCAGATGTAGCTGAGTAGAGGGAGGGGGATCCCGTGGGTGGGCCAGGCCATGGAGAGGGGGCTCTGGATTCCCCAAGCATGTCACTGAGCTTGGAAAGGGAGCCCTGCAAGTGGAGAAATGCAGTGTGGGAGGGGCTCAGAAGGAAGTGCAGGGCTCCAGGGCACAAGGTCTGTTTTGTGAATTTTTCATACGCCCTTGGACAAGTCACCAAATTGTCTCACTCACTGGGTTGATTGGAGGTTAGTCCCCAAGTGGGTGGGCCCATTTCACAGGTAAAGCCGTGGGATGCACAGGTGAAGTCAGTGCCTGAGGCCACACAGGTGAGCAGATCCAAGTCCAGAGGGGCGCTGCCTTCCTGTCCCATCTACTCTCGTCAGGCACAGCCCTGATCCTGATAGAAGGGAAGGAGGGCAACAGGGGACAGGACCTCCCCTGCACACCCACACCTGTGCACCCTGACCTTGGTCACCCACAGGAATGACAACTTGAGCTTCCTGCGGCCATACTACCAGCCAGAGGAGGGCGAGGAAAACCCTTTCATCTGCTCTTCGCACCGGGACAACGGGATGCAGAAGTGTTCCCACATTCCCAGCCGCCGAGAGCTACGCCGTGAGTGCACGCTGGCATGGGAGGCTGAAGGCTCGGAGCCAGTCAGCCGCAACGGCTGCATCAACTGGAACCAGTATTACAATGTGTGTCGCTCTGGGGGCGCCAACCCCCACAACGGCGCCATCAACTTCGACAACATCGGCTACGCCTGGATTGCCATCTTCCAGGTGGGTATGCGCTCCTGGTTCTGAGCTGGAAATTGGGGTCTCTGGGGGTGGGGTCGTTGCTGGTGGGGGAGGAGGGGCACACAGCCTGGCTGCTCAGGGGTTTTTGCTGCCTCCCCAGGTAATCACACTGGAGGGCTGGGTGGACATCATGTACTACGTCATGGACGCCCACTCCTTCTATAACTTCATCTACTTCATTCTGCTCATCATTGTGAGTGCAGGGGCTCCGCGTGTCCTCAGCTGCTTGGTCCCTCATGGGCCCCGTGGTGTGGCCGGGCCATGGGGTGGGCGGCACAGGGGCAGCAGAGACCTCAGGTGACTTTTGGGGTGCCCCAACAGAGTGGTGCTGGTAGGGTGCAGGGGCGGTCTTCGCCAAGGACCCTACTCATCCATGGGCCCGTTGCCCCCCACAGGTGGGCTCCTTCTTCATGATCAACCTGTGCCTGGTGGTGATCGCCACCCAGTTCTCGGAGACCAAGCAGCGGGAGAACCAGCTGATGCGAGAGCAGCGGGCCCGTTACCTCAGCAATGACAGTACACTAGCCAGCTTCTCAGAGCCTGGAAGCTGTTATGAAGAGCTGCTCAAGTATGTGGGCCACGTGGTGCGCAAGGTCCGGAGGCGTGGCCTGCGCCTCTACACTCGCTGGCAGAGCCGCTGGCGTCAGCACGTGGACCCCGATGCAGCAGTCCCCGGCCAGGATTCTGGCCGGCGGCGGGGTCGGACTGGCCGGCGCATGGCCTCCATCCACCACCTGGTCTATCACCATCACCACCACCACCACCACCACTACCACTTCAGCCACACCAGCCCACGCCGGCCAGGCAACCGTGACTGTAGGCTCGTGCGTGCCAGTGTCAGCGCCCCGCCCCCACCCACGCCCGCTCCCGGGCCGCCCGACGCCGTGCACAGTGTCTACCACGCCGACTGCCACGTGGAGGGGCCGCAGGAGCGGGCCCAGGCAACCCACGCCGCGGCCACTGCTGCTGCTGGCCTCAAGTTGGCTGCGGGTCTGGGAGCCATGAACTATCCCACCATCCTGCCCTCCGTGGACAGCAACAAGGGCAGCACCAACCCGGGGCCCAAGGGGCTGCTGGGCAGCGGGGTGCACAGCCCCACGGGCCTGGGTGTCCCTGATCCCTATGAGAAGATCCAGCACTTGGTCGGGGAGCATGGTGAGGACCTTGCCCCACCTTGCCCTGCAGGGGGGAAAGGGGGAGTGTCATCCTGGCTGGGTGATGGCATCCTCAGGTGCACCAGTTTCCTCTTCTGAGAAATGGGTACAGCTAAACCCTCTTGTGTAATAAGGGGGTTTAGTTGAGAAAGCCGGGCTCTGATAGGGCAGGAAGGGAGGATCTCTTTTCTCCCCAAGGGCTGCTGTCCATACGTTGTACAGCCCGGAGTAGCTGGCAGCTCAGGGAGACACAGCTTGCCCTGTAGATCCAAGATCCCAAATCTGGAAAAAAAAATAGGAAAAGAAAACCAAACAGCCAAAACCGCACGCAGGCCCCACGTCTCTGTGTCTCTTCTCTCTACAAGGGCACCACTCACTGATGCAGTCTCCAGTCTGTCCCCATGGGAACTGATGCCATCCCCAAAGATCCTATTTCTGCTCACAATGTGGGGGGAGGGAAGTGGGTTCCTGGGGTGCCCAGGCGAGCACCCCTGAGTGTGTGACTCCCCACAGGCCTGGGCCGGACCCCCAACCGCCTGTCGGGTCTGAGCGTGCCCTGCCCACTGCCCAGCCCCCGGGCAGGCACGCTGACCTGTGAGCTCAAGAGCTGCCCCTACTGCACCAGTGCCTTCAACAACCCCGAGCTGGAGCTCAGCGGTTCTGAGAGCGGAGACTCAGACAGCAACGGCGTCTACGAGTTCACACAAGACGTGCGACGTAGTGACCGCCGAGACCCCCTGCAGACACCTACCACTGAAACACCAGGCCAGGAAGGTGGCTCACCGCAGCAGCGGGCACACGGGCAGGCAGCGGGCAAGCTGGGTGGGCCAGGCCGTCTTTGGGCTGCGTTCAGTGGCAAGCTGCGACATATTGTGGACAGCAAGTACTTCAACCGCGGCATCATGGTGGCCATCCTGGTCAACACACTGAGCATGGGCGTCGAGTACCACGAACAGGTAGGCAGTGCAGGCGGCTCGGTGCTACTATGGTGACCCCAGGGGCGGGTCATCCTGTGTCCTTCTCTAGGCTTGAACTTCTCACGGAACCCTGGTGGGGTGCAGCAAAGTGCTACACATGGGTTTTTTAATCACTCATTCAACAAACACTTATGGGCTCTCCCCATGTGGGGCACCGTGGTGAGGAAATTCAGAGGCCACCCTAGCCTGTGAGCAAGCACCCTGTGGGTGTGGCTCTGCCTAGCCCAACTCCTGCCCAGACACATGCTCCAGGCAGCGGGAGAGGCCCGGGAGGGACTCACAGGGACTGTCCTCAGCCTGAGTCAGGCAGGATATGCGGGGCCCTGACCGTGTCCCCTGCACACCTACAGCCCGACGAGCTGACCAGTGCTCTGGAGATCAGCAACGTGGTCTTCACCAGCCTTTTCGCCTTGGAGATGCTGCTGAAGTTGCTGGCCTGCGGGCCGCTGGGCTACATCCGAAACCCGTATAACATCTTCGATGGGGTCATTGTGGTCATCAGGTTGGCTGGCACCCTGGGAGGCCTGTCCACGAGCAGAGGAGGTAGATGTGGGGTTGTAGACAGGAGTTCCCGTCCTCCCTGGGACCCATCGGGAAAACACAGGTCAGCTATCTTTTTAGATGGACATCTCTAGAATTTCAGTGGAGCTGTTCTCAGCTTAGGGCTGAAGGCTGGATGCTCCCGTCCTGCTCATCTCCCGGGAGATAATAGGTGTTGCAGGCCACACGTCTGGGAAGCTCCCTTACATCCGCTCAGGCTCTCAGTGGGATTAAGGGGAGTGGGGGGGTCTCAGTGTGGCGGTGTAGGCTAAGCCCTTGCAAACCCACCCTATACAGAGCTGCTATGAGTTGGAACCGATGCCAAACACATTACACAACAACATTCTACTTTTAGTTCTCTTACGGGTTTATCCTATCTGATGACATCATGGGAAATTATGACACAATTGTCCCATGACATCATTACACCACTGAGAATCATGACCCACCTCAACTGGCAAAGATCTGGGGGACACTATTCAATCCAGGACACTGCCCTAGCGGGCAGCAGGCTAGGCTGGACAGAAGAGTCTGCGAGGATGTGAAAGGCACAGGACGGGGAAAAGCCCTCGGTTCAACTTCCCCAGGGTATCCCCTCGATACCTTGATGCAGCCAGACCTGCTGCTTGATTGTAGGGCTGAGCAGAGTCACATGGGGCTCCTGGAGTTCCTGCTCCTGGGATGAGGGAGGCCTGGGGTCAGCATGGACGTGACCTGTACTTCTACACCCCTCACCCGCAGTGTCTGGGAGATCATCGGGCAGGCAGACGGTGGTCTGTCAGTGCTGCGGACCTTCCGGCTGCTGCGGGTGCTGAAGCTGGTGCGCTTTATGCCAGCGCTGCGGCGGCAACTCGTGGTGCTCATGAAGACCATGGACAACGTGGCCACCTTCTGCATGCTGCTCATGCTCTTCATCTTCATTTTCAGGTGGGGGGACAGGTGGGTGGGCCCAGGCAGCTCCTGGCCTGGACTTCCTCTCCGGCCCCACCCCCTCCTGCTGGCCTGCCCCCTGCTCCTCACAGCCCCATGCCCTCCAGCATCCTAGGTATGCACCTTTTTGGCTGTAAGTTCAGTCTGAAGACTGACACAGGGGACACCATCCCCGACAGGAAGAACTTTGACTCCCTGCTCTGGGCCATAGTCACCGTGTTCCAGGTGAGGTACCACTGCCCAGCGGGGTGGAGAAGAGAGTGTGCCGTGTGCTCAGAGCCCCTATGTGCTGCTCTGCCCCCCAGATCCTCACGCAGGAAGACTGGAATGTGGTCCTCTACAATGGCATGGCGTCCACTTCCTCTTGGGCCGCCCTCTACTTCGTGGCCCTGATGACCTTTGGCAACTACGTGCTCTTCAACTTGCTGGTGGCCATTCTGGTGGAGGGTTTCCAGGCAGAGGTGAGGGGCTTCTGGGAAGGGGGAGCTAGAGGGGCGGGGAGAATCTCTAGGCAGAGGTGAGGTACACGTGAAGGGTCCAGGTGGAGGTGAGGGGCTGGAGTGTGGGGTAGGGAGGTTGAGATGTTGGTGAGGGCCTGGGAGCTCTCACACTTGGTCAGGAGTCCTGCACAAACCAGCCAGGGAGAGGCAAGTTTCCTTGGTGAGCTCACCCCTGCTCTGGGCATGCATGTCACCCACCCATGTGGGCGTCTGCCGGTCTGACCATGGTGCTCACCTGATGCTCTTCTGCTCTGGGCCAGGGCGACGCCAGCAGGTCTGACACAGAAGAAGACAAGACGTCAGCACAGTTGGACGAGGACCTGGACAAGCTCAGAGGCCTGAGGGCAGCAGGTGCGCCAGCAGTGGGGGCTCCAGGGTGGGCACCTCAGGCAGGGCTGTTCCAATTCCTTCCTCCTCCTCCCAGAGTTGAAGATGTATTCGCTGGCGATGACCCCCAACGGGCACCTGGAGGGCCGGGGCAGCCTGCCCCCTCCCCTCATCATGCGTACAGCGGCCACCCCTATGCCCACTCCCAAGGGGTCCCCCCACCTGGACTCGGCCCCTGGGCTGCTGGAATCTCGGCGCAGCAGCAGCGGCTCTGTGGACCCCCAGCTGGGAGACCAAAAGTCTCTGGTAGGGATCCCAGCTCCCACTCTCATCCCTCTTCACACCCTTCGGGACCCCAGCCTCACCCTAGCCCCCCTCAAAGTCCCAGAAGGTGAGGACTTTGTTTTCCATATCGGATGCCATGAGCCTAGACAGGGGGCAGTGTGAGCAGGCCCTGCGGAGCCTCTAGAAGGATCCAGAACACACAGGAAGTTTATCTTCCACGTGAAGGGTCAGAGCTGGCTGAGCACAGTATCAGAGGGAGACCCAGGACGATTGTGGTACGGAGGGGTGACCGGATGACAGGTGAGTCACAGGTCATCCACATGTGACTTCATTATAAACCCCATTAGTCATGAGGGTGACACCAACTGGAACTGCTATATGGCTATCTGAAGTCACAGTTAACTCACTCAGCTGCTGCCTGCGAGGTTGGAAGGTGAAGTCCACCTGGGGAGGTGCCAGGTGCCTGGCAGTCTCTTGACCAAACAGCCACGGAAAACCCCGTAGAGCATAGTTCTATCTGACACACATGGGGCTGCTACAAGGTGAGGTCAACTCATGACAAGTGGTTAGGATGGGGAGAAATCAGATCCCTCGTGGTTCTGAACTTGGACAATGGTGCAGCTGCTGGGAGAAGCAGTTTGGTGGTTCCTCAGAAAGTTAAACATAGAATTACCATAAAACCACTGCCATCAAGGCGATGCTGACTGACTCTAGATAAGACAGAGGAGAACTGCCCCTAAGTTTTACAGGAGCAGACAGCCCCATCTGGCTGCCAAGGAGCAGCTGGTGGGTTTGAACTCCTCCCTTACACTTAACCCACAGCACCACTAGGTCTTCTTTATCGTGTGGTACAGCAATCCCACGCCTAGGCTCCATTCTTCTCCTCGATACCTGAAAGCAGGGGCGCACAGGAGTGTGCACTCCAGTGTCCCCTGTGGCGTGATGCACAATAGTCACAATGTGGAAGCAGCCCAAATGTCCATCAGTGGATGGTGGCTAACCACAATGGCGGCATGCAGAGCAGGACCATAGAGACGTAGCTCCGGGATGGCAGGAGAGACACATGCCCTGAGTGTGTCACTCGAAGGAGGCACCAATCGGTTTATGAAGGCTGGCATTTTCCATTGCCAGCTCTGAGAAAGCCTTCAGCAAGTTAACGTGCGTATTTTCATAGCTGAGGGACCCCGTGGGCCAAGGCAGACTTCGGAATCTTGTCCTCTCCCGGAGGGCTTATCTGCTTATAGCCTTGTCTCCTAGCTACCTCGCTGCCCAGGGGCGCACGGTAGTCGACAAGGGACCGAGAAATGTGTTTCTTGCTGTTTTGGTGGGTCTATGTGGGCACTGAGTTGAGCGAGTAGCACTGTAGGGTGGCACTGGACGGCTAACCCACAAGCTCACCAGTTTAAATCTAGCTGTTCCTTGGGAAGAAGATGAGGCTGTGTGCTCCTGCCAAGATTTATAGCCTTGGAAACCCTATTCAAGGTGACGATGAGTATGAACCGACTAGCTGGCAGTAGGTGTCTGCGAAGAGCCCAAGAGATGGGGCAAAGCAGCCCCAAGGAGGCCAGCCGGACTCCATTTCCCATCCTTCTGCTCCCGTAAACCCAGTACAGGGTCGCTATGAGTCGAAACCGACTCCACGGCACACCACCACCACCACACCCTTTGGAGAATGTCATTCTTCCAAGGAGCCCTGGTGGTGCAGTGGGTTAAGCATGGGGCTGCTAAGCAAAAGATGGGCAGTTCAATTCCACTAGCCACTTGGTGCTCGGTAAAGACAGTCTTGGAAATGCGATGGAGCATCTCGTCAACCCTACAGGGTGTTGGGTTGGAATCAGTCCACGCTGTGGCTTTGGGCATTCTTCCTGCTCACTCCTCTAAGGCCTGCCTGGCCATTCCCCCCTCTGAAACACGATTCTGTCTGAGGCGAGCAGGACTACTGGGAGGGCTGGATGCTGGTGGCCAGAGACAGGGCATGTCCACGGTGTGTGTGGCTCCCCAGGTAGCATTGTGGGCTCAGGCATTGTTTCTGCAGGAGGTTCAGGACTGCCCTGCTCAGGGCAGAAAGAGAAGAGACCAAAAGCAATGACTCTGAGAACATCGGAGTCCAGTTTTCATCAGAAAAAGCAAGGGAAGGAAGTGTCCTTGCCATTTTCCATGTCCTGCCGTCAGGAATAAGTAAGACTGAACTTGACTTAAGATTTCAAGCTGATAGGATGGTAAAGTTCTCTAAAAGACAGGCATCGGATGATTGCACGGGGACAGTTTCCGTGCCTGCCATGGTGTTTGTTGCAGTCTGTGCACTGTCCCCTCTTCACTTCCAGCAGGCAAGGTGGTGCTATATGCATATCACAAGCTGTTAATGAGTCTGCCTCCAATCTTGAGTCCAGTTTCTTGAATTATTTATTCAGTATGCAGATTAAATACTTAACAACAACAACAACAACATGCAGATTGAATAAGTGTGATGAAAAGATACAACTTTGGTGCACACTTTTCCTGGTTGTAAACCACGTGGTAGCCCTTGTTCCATCTGAACAGCAAAAAAAAAAAAAAAAAGCCAAACCCACTGATTCCGACTCACCGTGACCCTGAAGGGCTTCTGAGGCTGTAATTTTTAGGGAAGCAGAATGCCACATCTTTCTCCCCAAGAGCAGCTGGTGGGTTCAAACTGCCAATTTCTCAGTCAGCAGCAAAAGCTGAACTACTTTGATACTAGGGGTCCTTGTAAAGACCAGCTGTTGGCATTATAGAGATGCATCAGGCTGTTGGAGGAGCACATCTGGGCAGACACCCCAGGCCTGCTTTGGATGCCAGCTCACCCTGACCCTCCCCTGCAGTCTAGCCTTCGCAGCTCGCCCTGCGCCCACTGGGGTCCCAACGGCACCTGGAACAGCCGACGCTCCAGCTGGAACAGCCTGGGCCGCGCACCCAGCCTCAAACGCCGGAGCCAGTGTGGTGAACGTGAGTCTCTGCTGTCAGGCGAGGGCCGGGGCAGCACGGATGATGAGGCTGAGGACAGCAGGTCTGGCACAGGGACCTCCCCCGGAAGCTGTACCACCCCACCGCAGCGCGCCGAGTCCCTAGACCACCGTAGCACTCTGGACCTCCAGCCCCCGAGACCAGTCGCCCTCCTGCCCACCAAGTTCCAGGACTGCAATGGGCAGACAATGGCCCTGCCCAATGAGTTTTTCCTGCGTATTGACAGCCACAAAGAGGACCCTGCCGAGTTTGAGGACGACGTGGAAGATGTGAGTGGGCAGTGAGCGCCTACTCTTAGACACACACACACACACACACCCGTGTCCACACCATGATCCCCAGTCACCCCCTCCAGTCTGGGGGGACTCAAAGAGAAAGCTGGACAAGCCAAGAGTGAAGATAGGCTCCGCCTGACCCTACAGATAGGATGGACATAGGCCTAACCCTACACATAGTTCCAGAATGTACACAGCACCATAGGAACACGCTTGCAGCTGGTGTTCACCTTCAGATGACCCCACAGTGCCCTGGAGTGTGAACAGTCCCAGAGTGGTACCCCAAGGTTCAGGAGCCTGGCCTCAGTCCTGGGCTCAGTCACTTGGTGGGATGGGGGAGATGTCTCCTTGTCTAGGAGAGGGATTGCTGATCCTGCCCTCCGGCAGCTGGGTCAGGCATCCACCTGCTAAAAGGGGTTAAGTGGTGCCCCACCAGTGTCCACCCACCCACCTGACCCCAGCAAATTTCAACAAGGTGGGGAAGGTGAGACTGGGACCCTCGTGGCCAAAATGAAGATGGGTGAGGCATGCAGGCCGAGTGGCCTGGCAGTCAGAGCTGAGTGACCAGTGTTTTCGTCCCTTTCCCGCCCCAGAGCTGCTGCTTCCGACTGCGCGCGGTACTAGGCCGCCATAAACCCGAGTGGTGCCGCCGCCGCGAGTCCTGGGCGCTCTACGTCTTCTCACCGCAGAACCGGTGAGTGCGGGCTGACGTCCCCAAGGAGGGCTTCCACGGAGTCCCGTCCCCAGCTTCAACCTCCCCACTGGTCCCACCTCCCCAGCTTCCGAGTCGTCTGCCAGAAGGTCATCGCCCACAAGATGTTTGACCACGTGGTGCTGGTCTTCATCTTCCTCAATTGCATCACGATCGCTCTGGAGCGGCCGGACATTGACCCTGGCAGTACTGTGAGCTCCAGGCTTGACCCTATCCTCCACACCGCCTACTGCCCCGGCTCCGCCCATGAACTCGTCCCGCCCACTGGTCCGTCCCATCCTTCCACTCAGCTCCCCAGCACCACCCACAGCCCGGCCCCGCCCATATGTTCGTCCCGCCCACCGCCCCGCCCCATCTTTCCACTTTGCCCCGCCCCGCCCATCCTCTAGTCCCGCCCACCGCTCTGCCCCATCCTTCCACTTTGCTCCGCCCCACCCATCCTCTAGTCCCGCCCACCGCTCTGCCCCATCCTTCCACTTTGCCCCGCCCCACCCATCCTCTAGTCCCGCCCACCGCTCTGCCCCATCCTTCCACTCCATGTCCCAGCACCACCCCCAGCCCGGATTTGCTCACTGCCCCACCCACCCTGGCTAGCCTTTGTGCCCTATTCCCTAGTCCTAACTGATTCCCCCACCCTATCCCGTAGGAACGCGTCTTCCTCAGCGTGTCCAACTACATCTTCACGGCGACCTTCGTGACGGAGATGATGGTGAAGGTTAGAACGACTTCTGTGGGGCGGGGAGCAGACTGGCTATTTGTGCCCACCTTGGTCTCTACAGTGACACTCACCGGCCATTGCGCAGGTGGTGGCCCTGGGCCTGGTTTCTGGTGAGCATGCCTACCTGCAAAGCAGCTGGAACCTACTGGATGGCCTGCTGGTCCTAGTGTCCCTGGTGGACATCGTGGTGGCAATGGCCTCAGCCGGTGGCGCCAAGATCCTGGGTGTCCTGCGTGTGCTGCGGCTGCTTCGGACACTGCGACCCCTCAGGTGAGCAGACAGCCTCTGGCCTCTGTGGCACGCCCCTGGTTCCTGCCCACCACCTGCCCAGCAGCATCCCCTTTGCCCGCCCGCCGCAGGGTCATCAGCCGCGCCCCGGGTCTGAAGCTGGTAGTGGAGACCCTCATCTCGTCCCTCAGGCCCATCGGGAACATTGTTCTCATCTGCTGCGCCTTTTTCATCATCTTCGGCATTCTGGGTGTGCAGGTGGGGTGCTTTGGTCCCTCAGGCGGGTATATGGCCAGAGAGAGGCCCCTTGGGGTGAGACTGGGGGCTGTGGCTTTGGAGTAACCATCCCATCCCCGGTCAGCTCTTTAAGGGCAAATTCTACTACTGTGAAGGCACCGACACCAGGAATATTTCTACCAAGGCCGAGTGCCAGGCCGCCCACTACCGCTGGGTGCGACGCAAGTACAACTTTGATAACCTGGGCCAGGTGTGTACTGGGCTGCGGCTGTCATGGCTGCTGGCTGGGATGGGGGCTGATGGGAGATCTGGCATTATCCGCCCCAAACCTGGATCACCGGACTCTCTCTGACCCTCATGTTTCCTGTCTGTAAAGTGGGGACGAGTGTGTCCCACTGCCCAGAGCTGAAGACTCAGGGGCCATTCCCATCCTGAGACGGGCACATGACGCCCTGGCGTAGGTCTCGGAGCTCCGGGGTACAAGCATAGTGCAGTCTGGGAGCTGGGATCAGTCTTGGGCCATAGTCATTGCCTTTTGCTTTGATCTCCAGGCCCTCATGTCCCTGTTTGTGCTTTCGTCCAAGGACGGCTGGGTGAACATCATGTATGATGGGCTGGACGCCGTGGGCATCGACCAGCAGGTGCCGTGGGCGGGTGGGTGGGCAGGCAGCGCTCTATGCAGGCTTCTCTCTGTCCCGTTCAGGCCTATGTTTCTTGGGGTTGTGATGGACTATCTCATTGACCACTGGACACTCCCTAGTCCCAGCACTAGAGTGACCAGCATTGGCTGAGGGGCCTGTCTCGGATGGTGGGTCATCTCAGGGACCACAGAAGGTTCCCCAGTCCCAGTGCCAAAGTGCCTGGTTTTGACCGGAGAGTTCTGTCTTGGGGATTTCAGGAGACACCCCAGACTTGTGCCCAGGTGCACATCTCAGGTGGGCGGAGCTCCCCAGGCGGGCACCCAATCCCGTTTGTCCCCACAGCCGGTGCGGAACCACAATCCCTGGATGTTGCTGTACTTCATCTCTTTCCTGCTTATCGTCAGCTTCTTTGTGCTCAACATGTTTGTGGGCGTCGTGGTGGAGAACTTTCACAAGTGCCGGCAGCACCAGGAGGCTGAGGAGGCGCGGCGGCGGGAGGAGAAGCGGCTGCGACGCCTAGAACGGAGGCGACGGAGTAAGACGCTCCTGGTGGCGGGTCGGTACCTGCGCGCTCACAGGCCCTTGGTCTCCAAGTCTGGCACTCTGAATGGCTCTGCCTGCACTGCCTACCCCGGTGCCACATGGGGACCTGGTGGCCGGAGGCAGGGACCCTTCCCAGTGGCCATTCAGGCCCGTTGGATGCACTGACCCAGTCCCCAGTCCCCCAATCCAGGGACATTGTCAGCCCAAATGGTTGGTCTCCTTCACAGGGGCCAGTGGTCCCCTCAGGAGACGTGGACTCCAGAGAGAGCAGGCCTGTGAAGCTTGAGGCAGGGACCTTCCCAGCCTGAATCCCCCACCCAGACCTCAGGGGCAGCTGTACCCCCATGTGATCTCCTCCCCCAGGGTCTTGCAGACCTCTCCCGAGACAGAGGAGGACCCTAGAGAGGGCAGACCCACACAACTTGGGGCAGGGGGCTTCCTTTGGGGAGGGTCCCGCTCACGGCCTCCTTGTTTTCCAGGCACATTGCCCAACCCAGGTACCACCCTGCATGCCTTAGCCTGCTTCTGCCAGCTGTGGCTCATGGGCCTGGTCCCTCTGTGCCCGCCTGCTCTCATGCGCCCTCCCCACCCCCATCCCTGCTGCCCGGCTTGCTTCCCCTGCCACCCCCTGGCTGCGTGCTCGGCTCCTAGAGACGCATGCAGGCTGAGGCACGTCTGTCTAGGCCCTCGGGCCTTGCTGTGTGGGCTGCAGGGTGGGGGGCTGTTTCCCATCAGTCCTTGCTCTTCCAATCCTTGGACTGGCGGGGGTCTCTCACCACCCCACTCCCCCACCCACCCACTGTGGGCACACCATGGCGGCTGGCCTTACCTAGCAGAAGCGTGTGGCAGTAGTTAGTGTGTGCTGATGGGGCCACTGGGAGCAGAGCCAAGTGCAGATGCACCCAAAGGGGGACACGCAGCTCAGGGCCACCCCAGCTAGGGGCATTTTGCCCTGTCTCGGGCAGCACCTTTAGATGGGCTCAGGTCCCACACACCCCAGTGAACAGGCAGCCTCTCTGGCCTCATGGTGCCCTCTCTCAACTGGTCAGAAGGGGCCTGAGGGTCCCAGACTTGAAGGTGGAGGGGACAAGTCAGTGGGTCAGCCTCCTTGCACACCCCTTCCCACCACATTTCAGGTAGCTCTTCCTTATCTGTAAGGGGGGTTGTCTTTCCACGAGAACCCCTTCTCCAGTCTCAGGAAAGCCATCTTGGCAGGCCAGCCCCCGGGGCTGGAGATGGCTCAGTGCGGAGCCCCCAGAGGCTAAGACGGGGACATCCCAGGGTTCACGGCACCTCTCCCCGCAGAAGCCCAGCGCCGACCCTACTACGCTGACTACTCACCCGCCCGCCGCACTGTTCACTCCCTCTGCACCAGCCACTACCTCGATCTCTTCATTACCTTCATCATCGGGGTCAACGTCATCACCATGTCCATGGAACACTACGACCAACCCAAGGTGGACCCCGCCCCACAGCGCCTCCTCCCCAGGGAAGGTCCACGGGAGGGGGCTCATCGGAACTAAGGGAGGACCCCAGCCCCAGTCAGCGAGGGGCTAGCCCTTGAAAGGCTTGCTGAAGCTGTTGGAATGTCCACAGCAAGGCCGGCTCCCAACTCGGGGGCGTCATAAGCTGCCAAAAAAAGGCAGGGGAGAGACAAGAGATTCACCTTCCTATTTTATTCCAGTTACATCTGCATTTCCTCATCTCATTAAAGAAAGACCAGTCCTCTCCCCCACTACCGGGAAGGGTTCGTGTTCAGTGATTGGGTGGTAGGCCATCTCAGGACGGTGACCAACCAAGAACACAGTCTGTCAGAGCACCACTGTGCTCCGCAGGGTTGACAGTGGCTGGTTTTCTAAAGCGGGTAGCCAGGCCTTTATTCCTGGTCTTTCTAGACCTAGAAACCCCACTAAAGTCTGTGGGTGACCCTTCTGGTGTTGAGATACCAGTGATGTAGCTTCCAACATCAAGGAACATGCAAGCTGTGGGGTGGTTATATGGATTCTATATCCAGACAAGACATCCTGGTGGCTCTGTTTGCTAGACATTGCAATGCTAACAGAAAGATCTGTAGTTGAGACCCAACCAAGAGGAGGACAGAGAGGAGGCTGTCTTCTCAGAGGGTTTACAGTCCTAAAGCCCGGTATGGAAAGGCTTGATGACTGTGGGCGGCTTTGGATAGATCCACACAGACTAGCTGCCGTGCAGTCGGTTCCAACTCACGTTGTGTCCATGTGTGTCAGAGGACCACAGTACTCCTAGGGTCTTCAGAGGCTGAGATCTCAAAGGCTTTTCTTCTGAGACACCTCTGGTTGGATTTGGCCACAAACCTTTCAGTTAGCAGCCAGGTACATTTGCTGTTCACCCAGGAACATTTCACTTTGGGAACAGCATCGTTTGGAGAGAAAACTGAGACGGTATGATGTGTGTTGTTGTTGTGAAGTGCCATTGAGTCAATTCCAGCCCGTAGCGACTCTATAGAGTTTCCAAGGAGCAGCTGGTGAGCTTAAACCACCGACCTTGCAGTTCAAATGACTGCAGTCCGACACATTAGCCCACAGCGCCACACCAGGTGTAGGAAGAGCTAATAAGCAAGCAGGCGGCCCTAGCCTGTACCCTACTACACTTTGATGGCTGAGCCCTGAGGGCTGTCCCCAGAGGGCTGTAGGGGGTTCCTGTAGACAGTGACCCCCACACACACACACACCTGGGACAGGCCAGTGCATACAGTTAGCACTCACTAGCTATGTCCTGGAGGCACCAGATCAGTGGGTAGAGGACCAGAATGAGGTGGACTGGGGAGGCAGGCAGGTTGGCTGTAGCTGGTGGCTGGGTCCCACAGTGCTGGGAGGGCTCACTTAACTGAGCACCACCTGTATACTGTGCTAGAGATGAAGCCGCCGGGCATCTGGGCAGGAGCTCCACAAGGCTACAGAGGTGGCCGGAGTATTTGGAGGCCACTCGGGGGGACAGTGTGGGCCCTACTGGGAGCAGGGGGCATCAGGCCACCTCCTTGCCAGCTGGACCATCTCCCCAGGCCCTGGATGAAGCCCTCAAGTACTGCAACTACGTGTTCACCATCGTCTTCGTAGTTGAGGCTGTGCTGAAGCTGGTGGCTTTCGGCTTCAGGCGATTCTTCAAGGACAGGTGGGTAACCCTCAGGTGAGGGCCACAGCTCTGGTCCTCATGATCCTAGGAGGTGATGGGGTGCCCAGAGGCGTGGCTAATGCTGAGTCCACCTGCCTGCCACCTGCCAGGTGGAACCAGCTGGACGTGGCCATTGTGCTGCTGTCCATCATGGGCATCACGTTGGAGGAGATTGAGATGAACGCTGCCCTGCCCATCAACCCCACCATCATCCGCATCATGCGTGTGCTACGCATCGCCCGGGGTAGGTGCCACGGTCCCTCCCCTGG